GAACATGTGTCTTCAATTCTCTTGGATATATACTTGGGAGTGGAATTTCTGGGTCATATGGTAACTCTGTTTAACTTTTTGAGGAACTATCAAACTGTTTTCCACAGCAGCTGCTCCATTTTACATTCCCAACAGTAGTGTATAAAAATTCCATTTTCTCCACATCCTCCCCAACACCTGTTATTTTCTTAAAAAAAATATATATATGTATATATGTGTTTATATATAGCCACCCTAGTGGGTAGGAGGGCATATCTCCTTTTATATACATCCTATCTTGTAAGTTTCACACATACTGCAGCAAAGGACAGACACACTATACACTTGCTTTTTCTACTTAACATACTGTGAAGGTCATGTTAGTATTCACAGAACTGCTTATTCTTTTTGCTGGCTTTATGGTAATCCAGTGTATGAATGTGCAATCCTGGTACTGTTCATCTACTTAACCAGTCCCTTACTGGTAGGCTGCTCAGTTTTTTCCAATCTTCTGCTATTTCAAACAGTGCTGCAATGACTGTCTCTACATACTCTGTTCTCCACTTCCAGGAGTCTGTTAGTAATGATCATTCCTAGAAGTGGAATTCTAGGTTAAAGAGTATGTGCATTCTTTTATTTTTATAGATATTGCCAAATTGATTTCTATAGAGAATGTACTAATTTGTACTCACCAGCAATAGAGGAACATGTTCGTTAAATGGACCCAGGATCACAAGATTAAATTTGGGAGGTATTGTGTTAGTATGACTCCTGTGTGCACCGACTACAGAATCACTTCTCCTGAGGGACTTGGGGATAAAGCCGAGGTTCATAAGGAGCTCTCTTTGGTGAGCAGTTCCCAAGGAGGAGGTAGAACCTGACAAGGGTGTATCCTGGGGCCCTACCCACTCTTCCTTGGTGGAACAATGGGGACTCCCTGAAGATGCTGGGTAAAATAACCATTTTTTCATTTATTTCTTCAATCAACAAAATTTACTGAAAGCCTCTTCTGTGGTGCTAGATGCTGGGATGGGATGAAAACAAGATCAAACCAGAGATCCCTTTCTTTGATGTTTTTAGGCTTTTGAGGGGAAGCAGACATTGATACAACTAAGTACGTAAGAAATAGTGAGGGAAATTCTATATCATGCTACTGGAGCCTGTAGTAAGGGTCTGAGGGTCAGCACAGGATTTCCAAGAGAAACATGTTTGAATTGAGATGTGAAAGATGAGTAAAAAACTAGCTGAAGAGAAGTCTTTGTTTCCTTTGGTTAACAAATAAAGAAGGGAAATTATGATACTTACCTCACAGGTAGTTATGAGAATTATGTTAAATAATATATGTAATGCATTTAACAAAATGCTTGGCACATGTCAGTCACTTGGTGAATGCTTATCCTGTTTCCACTCTTGCATTTACTCATGGTGAAGGTTAGAGTCCCAGGTCCCCAGGCAAAGCACTGCCACTCTAGTTTGTTCTCACTTCATAGTTCTCTACCACCTTGCTCTCTCTTCTTGCCTTTCTGTGCTTCCAAGCAGTGGAGGACATTTATTTTAGTCTACCCTAGGAGCAAATTAGATTGGTAACTACAATTTACTTTGCCCTTCATCTATACTATTTTACATCCATTATTTAATTTAATCTTCATAACAATCTTAGTAGGGAAGACCTATTATCACTCCCATTTTATAAATGAAGAGACTGAGGCAAGCAGAGCCCAAGGACAAGAGCTAGCAATCAGGATTCAAACTCAAGTCTGACTAATTTCTAACCATTACCCCTACAGTGCCTTCCCTGGGTTTTTAGTTATCTTTTTTAGCTCTTGTTCACCCAACCACGTGACAAGCTTATTTAGAATACTGACCTGCCTTTAAACATTTTAGTAAAACAAGAGCTACTACTTATCGAGGCATCTACTACATGACACATGCTGTTACATGCACTATTTCTGACCCTCACAACAACTGTATTATATAGTGTTTTTCCCATTTCACAGATTAGGAAACAAGACCTCAAAGGAATTAATTAACTTGGCCAAGGTGGTAGAGACAAGCCAAGAACCCTAAGATAGGTTAGCCTCGTACCTGCCCAGAGATAATAGTCAATATGTGTAGTTGATAGATGGGAAAGCATAGGGCTATATTCACCCAAACCCTGGTTATCTTCATCTGGCATGACATTTTAGATGATGGTAGTGAATATGGGGGAGAGGGAATTGTTGGAAAGGGGCCTATCTTTTCCTTCTGGCTGTGTGAAAACAAAATTTAGAGTTCACAATAAACAGAGGCCTAGAGGTTATTGTGGGATCCCTGTGTTCACTTACCAAACAAGCTGCTGTGAACAACTCCCTCTTTGGGAGTTTTGTAGTCCATGATACAGATAATGTTCACACTTATGGAATGTTTTCTAAAGACCATTCTCAGTGAATTTATATGGGTGAACTTACTTAATTTCCAGGTAAGGACTGTTATTATCCATATAACAACTGTGGAAACCAAAGTACAGAAAGGTTAAAGGATTCGCCCAAGGCCTCCAACTAGTAAGTGGAGTAACTAGCATTTGGACACCTGGAGTGTGATTTCAGAGCTGGAGCCTCTCCTTCCTGTTAACAATGTGAAAGAAGAGTCGCTGAATCGAGCATAAAAACAGATGAAACTTTAGTATAGCGAATACCCAAAAATTCCTGCGGTTTGCGTAGGGAAGTTACGTTTCAAAGCTCCTGCCTGCCTGCACGTCTCCATCCCACACTTACTCTTTTCCCAGCATTCCCGAAAACAAAAGATTCAGAGCCACAAAGTAGGGGAAAGGTCACTTTGGGATTAGGCTCCTCCCTTCCCTCCGGCTCAGTCCGTGTCCCACAGAGCGCGCAGAGCCGGTGAGCTCCGGGATTCTCGCGCGTCCGGTGCGGGCAATTGCCCTGGGCGCGCGGAACCTCCAGTCCTGAGCTCAGGAATCTGCGCAGTCACCTGCGCCGGAGCTCCCGCCCACTCCCCTCCTTAGCAGGGGTGCAGTAAAACCAGCAGCTCGCCTTTCTGCCACCGTGGATGTTCCTTCAAGCGGCCTCCCCACTCCCAGTGTCTCCTCAGGACTCATTTCTGAGATCTGCCCCTGGGTGTTCTCACGACAGGATGTCTACCTTTGGTTTAGGGGTGGCGGGGGGGCCGGGCCAAGCTTAGTAATGCTTCTCAGCGCCCAAATCTGGGGATAAGGGTGGACCGTGACCTCCAAGCCTTTGTTCAATTTAAAAGTATCCTTAAAAATCATCTAGTGGCCACATTTTAGATAAGATAACTGAGCCTCAGCGAGTATAAAGTGACTTGTTCAAATACAGTCAGGCGCAGACACCACGGCCAGTTGAATTATTCCACATTTTCTTACACACTATAAACGTTCCTAGAAAGCACGATTTAACGTGCCGTAAAGGGGCCTCGCCCTTCCAGAGATAGCGATGGCAAATTAAATCTCAGAACTTGGAATGGAGGGCGGGCGATGGCGGCTGGAATCCTGGTACTTCTCGCGTTCTCTTCAGTCCCTGGAATGGAGAAAACTGGGGTAGGGGGTTGGGATCTGATGCACTCTGACAACCTACGCTTTGTTTTAATCTCGTCAGGAAACCATCCTCCGCTCCCGGCCTTCATCCGCTGCGAGGCTCCTTGGATTAGGATCCCTCAGGTGTGTTTTCCACCCATTTAGTATGGGGGGAAATGTACTGGTTCCCTCAAAAGTTTCCTACAGCAGGAAAAGGCAGTGTGTGTTGACACACAAGCCTAGTGCCACCGCCGACCGCAATGATTTAGGGCCGCACGGTGTGATTTTTGAAACGGCTCAGACGCCCGGCAGAGCGCACGGCCCCCTCCTCGGACCGCCCCCGCTTGGGGCGGGGCCGCGACGTGCAGGAGGGCGAGTGCGTGCGGACCCTTGTACGCGTGCGCGAGTCCTGGGGCGGGGCCTGGGCTAAAAGCCTGTGGCGTGGCAGCCATCGGTCTGTACTGCAGGCATTGCTTCGGTTCTGCGAGTGCTGTCCCGGCCCTTCTAGTTGGCGGACTTTCCTCCCGACTGCTGCGCTTCTGGCTGTTGGCGAGCGGGCCATTCCCGGCCTTTCTTCCTAGAGGTGAGCTGCCTTGTGTGTTTCCCTGGCTCCCAGCCCCCATCTCTCAGGCTGCGTGCCCGGCGGGCCACTTGGCATTCCCTGGTCGGAGCTGCGCCGCCTGAACCCGCCCTGCTCGCCCCGCCTTCACCCGGGTCCCGAGCCAGCTGCCCCAGTCCTGTTTTCTAAAGGGGTGGACCTAACTAGTGTCCACGTAACCCACCCCATGCTCAACAGCGCTGGATTAGGCGTGCCTGCCATGCGCTCGTAAAGCACCATTAGCATCTCCTTCCTATCACAGCACTTGGAGTGTGGCATGTGTGTTTTCTTGCCTGTCGCCCCTAAAATTGTGAGCCCCATGAGGTCAGGGTTCATGTCTGCAGGTCCTCAAATGTGGCTCCAGTACCTTCCCGGGTGCCTAACATGTTGTAGTTATTTAGGTGTATTAAGTAAGTGAACTTAATGCGACTCTCTTGGAATTATTATTTTTTTATTTTGGTATCATTAATCTACAATTACATGAGCAACTCTTGGAATTATTTTGACTCCTAAAAAGTTTGTGATTAACTCGAACATGACTGATATGTGAGGGCGGCTTTAGGGAGGTTGTTTTCTCAAGGGCATGTTCTCATATTCCCACCCTGGCCCCCAAAGAACTTGGTCTTCGTACCGGGCAGGCGAAGTAGAAGCTTTTACTTTAAAGAAAAGTGTAAGTTTTAAGAAGTGCTCTTGAATTAGTCCAAGAAGCAAGACTGGCTCTGCAGCCACGGAGTTTACAGTGTAAATGAACTTGAGGATTCTGTGGAAGAATAGCCCTTGGTCCCTGCCTCCCTGCTGGCCTTACTTAGCTCCGTGGGAAGGTTGAAGGGCCCGGGCTAGAGGCTGTAGATTTCCAAAGGCTGTAGATTAACCTCACCTCTCTTTCCTCAGGATCCAGAGGCCCTCCAGAAGGCAGTTCTGCTGCTCTACAAAGGAGTGGGATCCTTTCAGCCATGAACCATATGTTGAACCTCTATCTTTTAGGGGTAGTGGTGACCTTGCTTTCCATCTTCGTTAGACTGATGGAGTCCTTGGAGGGCTTACTGGAGAATCCATCACCGGGGAGCTTCTGGACCACCAGAGGTCAACTAGCCAGCACAGAAACCCCAAGGGCTTTCCAGACCATCCGTCCAGAAGGGTGTGATAAGACCTCCCTCCACCGGCTGTGACCCTTGGTATACTGGCCTAAACTCATCGGCCAGGTGTACAGTTCTTGGGCAGGCAGACTCAGCATCAGTGTTCTCAGACCTAACTCTTACGAGGGCCTTGAAGGGCCTCTGGATGTTCCTCACCCTGGAAAAAGAGCCTGTTGAGTCCAGGTGTGAGTGGGTTGCATGTAGCTGTGGGATGCAGCACTGTCACTCTGCTCCCCAGGGCTCAGCTGTTTACATAGTGTTTTCAGCCCTATTTACTAGTGTCTGCTGAGCTCCTTCAGACTTGGGTGTCGTAATATTCAGTTTAATGTTCAGCCTCTTCCGTGAAAGCTCATCTGTATGTGGATAGCAGTTGAAAACGTGTGTGGGTTGGCCGTAGGGGGGAGGGGAATGATGGAGTGTACAGTGTCCAGTTCTCATTGTTCTACACTTAATGATTCATCCACCGGCATAGTGTGTATGTGTGTGTTTATTGGTCTGACGGGGACCACGGATGACAAAGCTTGCTTAGGACATGGGCATTATGGCCACCATGTGGCTTAAACGAATTTTTCTAATAAAGTTGAGTATTTTGACTATGTGTCATGTTGACTTCAAGTACTGGTAGGGAAGCATCTTAATTTCTAGGTCTGAGGGCTTTTTTTAACATGCCAAAGAGAAATACACCTGAATTTGGAGTCAGGGGCAGTTGGGTCTCCCCTGTATCAGCCAGTCATCTGAGCCTAGGCCAAAATATTATAGTCCTCTGACTCTATCCATCTCTAGAGGAAAAATTATTTCTTCCAGCCACCTGGTGGGTGGGGGGTCGGGACGAGGACTATCTGTCCAGTAGGCTCTGGCTTTTTTCTTTTCTGCTCAATTTTGGTCATTCTCTGGTTCAGCTGGTAGAATGTCCATACTTCACAATTGGTTCTGCTTTCTCCCAGATCTAAGCAGCTTGGCCTCTGCACACGAATGGAGGGGTTTCTATTTTTTGCTTGTATCACCACTCCACCGCCCACCCCACGTTCAAGCATATTCACTCCTCTCCCTATGGCAATATGTTTATTCGCACTTGATGTGTGTGTGTCATTTTACATATTGAGTTTAGTTTACTTGTACCAAAGGGTAAGAAAGTATGGTGGTCTCTGCTAAACCAGTTTTGCTACGAGTGTTCTTAAACTTCAGTGCCCCTACCTTAAAAGCCCGTGTTGTGGGCATCACCTGTTTATTGCTGTGAGGTAGTCATTAGTGCTGTTTACCCAGTACTTCCAGCTTCCTGCCTTCTGGCTCATGGTGAGACTGTACCCTCTGTCCCTTTGTGGTTGGCCGGGCTTATGTGACTATAATGTGACAGGTCTTTCAGTGGCTTAGGACCCTCAAAAAATAGTTGGCATTTTAGCTCTGATTTCAGGCAGTTTCATGTACCAGTAGCTGTCCTTTTCTAGACAATATTTCTTAAATTTGATGCACTTCTCACTCATGCCTCTCTGACTCACTTGGGGTATTTGAACTTCAAGGCCAAGAACTGTACCTTAAGTTCTCCCCAGCCAGTTTGTTTACCTGAAATGGTTTATTAGGTGCCACAATTTCTATGAGATGTTTGCTCTAAGACAATTTCATCTACTCGGATTTCAACAGCAGATGCAATGGCCATACCCTTGTTTTGGTCTTTCCTATGTCCCTGTTTGCCTGGCAGAGGGATTTTCTGGGACAGAATTTTGGTGCTAATACGGACAGTTCCGGGTGAACCAAGACAGTTAGTCACCCTACCTACAAAGCTAAGTTTAAATTGACATTTGTCCTTTCAAACTATATTCAATTTTACCTATTACCAGACTGGGATGAGAAGCACTTGCTTCTGTGAACCCTGCAAGCCTACTGATTTCTGTTGTCTCTAGATCCCTATGCCTGCTTGCAAGCTGGCCAGTTTTCATTTAAGCTCATCATGTGAGGCTTCATCAATGGTACCGGGCAGGCGAAGTAGAAGCTTTTACTTTAAAGAAAAGTGTAAGTTTTAAGAAGTGCTCTTGAATTAGTCCAAGAAGCAAGACTGGCTCTGCAGCCACGGAGTTTACAGTATAAATGAACTTGAGGATTCTGTGGAAGAATAGCCTTTGGTCCCTGCCTCCCTGCTGGCCTTACTTAGCTCCGTGGGAAGGTTGAAGGGCCCGGGCTAGAGGCTGTAGATTTCCAAAGGCTGTAGATTAACCTCACCTCTCTTTCCTCAGGATCCAGAGGCCCTCCAGAAGGCAGTTCTGCTGCTCTACAAAGGAGTGGGATCCTTTCAGCCATGAACCATATGTTGAACCTCTATCTTTTAGGGGTAGTGGTGACCTTGCTTTCCATCTTCGTTAGACTGATGGAGTCCTTGGAGGGCTTACTGGAGAATCCATCACCGGGGAGCTTCTGGACCACCAGAGGTCAACTAGCCAGCACAGAAACCCCAAGGGCTTTCCAGACCATCCGTCCAGAAGGGTGTGATAAGACCTCCCTCCACCGGCTGTGACCCTTGGTATACTGGCCTAAACTCATCGGCCAGGTGTACAGTTCTTGGGCAGGCAGACTCAGCATCAGTGTTCTCAGACCTAACTCTTACGAGGGCCTTGAAGGGCCTCTGGATGTTCCTCACCCTGGAAAAAGAGCCTGTTGAGTCCAGGTGTGAGTGGGTTGCATGTAGCTGTGGGATGCAGCACTGTCACTCTGCTCCCCAGGGCTCAGCTGTTTACATAGTGTTTTCAGCCCTATTTACTAGTGTCTGCTGAGCTCCTTCAGACTTGGGTGTCGTAATATTCAGTTTAATGTTCAGCCTCTTCCGTGAAAGCTCATCTGTATGTGGATAGCAGTTGAAAACGTGTGTGGGTTGGCCGTAGGGGGGAGGGGAATGATGGAGTGTACAGTGTACAGTTCTCATTGTTCTACACTTAATGATTCATCCACCGGCATAGTGTGTATGTGCGTGTTTATTGGTCTGACGGGGACCACGGATGACAAAGCTTGCTTAGGACATGGGCATTATGGCCACCATGTGGCTTAAACGAATTTTTCTAATAAAGTTGA